AGCATCACTAGGTTCCTAATGCTGGCGTCTACTTCCAAGTCGTAGCATAATCTTTGAGGTGACGATTTGGCGATTTTGAATACATCGATGGCGATTTTGAAATTTAGACAACTAAATATCATGTTCTGTTCTGTATGCTTGATTGGAAATAAATGTACTTTCATTAGGGGTCTGAAGGTGTTCTTGCTGCGATTGCTGCTTGACAATTTTTTTTTGTTGGGATTCCGGAAGGAAGTCGTTTTAGAATGATTGCCTTTGAAATATTGAAACGTTTTTATTTATTATCGTACGGGTCTGTGTCGACTTGATTTGTCTAGGAATTTTGTTGCGAAGAGCTTTTGAATTTGAGTGAGTAATGTGCATTATTTACTAAAGTGCGTGTTGAATTTTGTCAGCTTTTGCTTGCTCTTTGTTCTTTGATTCATTTTGTATTGTGTATTCAGCATTTAAATTATACAAGGATTCAATTTTAAAGAGAACAACTTGCGTGTAACGAATGCGTGACAGTAATGTAATGTAGTTCAGAGAGGGAGATTTAAAGTTTTTTACACTGTCGTGACTGCTGTGTTTGTGAAATCGAAACGCGTGCAATATAAACTTTAGTGTTGTTTGACGTTATACGAGCTTAAAGAAGCAGAGCTTTTGAATTCTTGCAGTGATGCGCTTATCAGTAAAGTTTCGTATTTTTTGAAATACAAGGAGAACTGTGAAGATTTGAAGGGTTTATAATTTAATATTTGTTTTCTTGAATTTAGAAAAAAACGACTACTATTAGAAATAATTGTCTGTCTGCAGGATTTCTAATGATCAACCAGGAATCAACAAATTATGAACGCGACGACGTCAAGCTGTTTTAACCTTATTTTTCACCACGTTTTGCAGTCTGATGCTTCAACTGTCTCTATTTTAAAGGAATTTTGTCTGTATTTTTACTTTCCTTGGGAGTCTTCTTAAAGACAACTTGATATCGCGTTTGTGGAAAGGCATCTTGATAACAACAAGCGAAGAACTGCATGGCTCGTTTCATGTGCCTTCAGAAGCTCCTGATGATCGCGACACTTTTTCAAATGGGTTTATTATGACATTTCTTCGTGCTTCAGATGGTTCATTAAAATATGCTGATATTCGCTTGCTTTTTTTAACCGATGGTTGCAGTCCTTTTTCCTCGGCTATTCTTTTTTTGTAACATATGTACAAATAAACTATACCAATCGTGATGATAACTACTGAGATAGTTATACCGACAATCAATCCTAACCCTGTAGTTAAATTCATTTTACACGGTCTTTGAAGCAAGTGATAATAATAATTAACCTTGGATTCTTTTAACAATTTTAACTGTTTTTAAAAACTCTTTTTTTCTTGAAAATTAAAGGTGGTTCTTGCACTTCTCAACCTCTCAATTAACGTGTGATTATAACAATCACCAATTCTTTCACTTTTTGCTAACTTTATTTATTCATTTCTTTAACTATTTTGTGGTGATTATCAGAAGGTAAAAATAGAAAAGTAATATTTTAACTGCACAGATAGAAGTATTTAACTTACATGAGTTACTGTCTTTGTCTTCCTGAAATTTGAGAAAAACAGATGAATAAACAAAAGCAAGAGAAATTTTTGACGTGGTTCGATTCAACTGCTAATTCTATTTGCTATTCACCCCAATTTAAAGCTTTTTCTTTTTTTTTTATTTTTATGAAAAATGACTTTGAATATTGAAACTATTAAAATTCTCATTTGTAATTATCGGTCTTTACTGCTTATTCTTAAATGATGTGATTTTTGAAACTTGAGCTTGAAAGAGCTATACAGTTTGAGCTGTAACGATCAAATTGAAATAATTCAACAACAGTTTTTTTAAATCGCAGTTGGAAATGAAAAATACAGTTTTCTGCAGCTACTGGTAAAAAGTAAGGAAAGAAATAAACTTTTAAATTTTTGCTCAAGTATAGCTTGAACAGTTCACTCAGAAAGGATTTTGGCTGATACCGTGTCATTCTGTAATTCAAGATGCTGCTTTTTGCAAAGAATTCGAAATACTTCTCCAGTCACATCAAGATAATTGCAGCTTCTTGTGTGAATTACATCTAAATTCTCTGTTTATAAAACGAGGCTAGATAACGTAAGAAGAATATAAACATTTGAATCAAACTTTAAATACTAGTAGCATATTTACATGATTGTCGTGATCTTATAAGCTCTAAAGAACAGAGAGATAACCAAGTGCTTGGCAAGTAGTATTAAGAACGTTCTTTTGTTTCTGCCAAGGTTAAGATTTTACCTCATTTATGAAACATAACGACGTTGTTAACGTGTCACAAAAGATAAACGAATTTTGACTGTATATAAGTCTAGGAGTTACAAAACAGTAATACCGTAGTAAATTTGTTGAGCGAGATATCTGCGTTGAAGCTCCAAACAGCTTCGGTCCTCACTAAGAGTTATTTTCTCTTCTGCGAGCCTCTGAACTATGTAATCTGTGCTTGAAGAGTCTGACCAAACTAAGTTTTTTGTAGAACTCCCATGCAAACCCAGCAGCACTCGCCTTGGTGTTTCCAGTTCATTTGGATTCAGTTTAGAAATTGAAGTATAAAACGCTAATTCTGAAATATCGAAAGCACCAGTATTTCAGATTTATTCACGCACATATACCTCTTTTTGTTGTTGTCATTGATCAAGGTTTTTTTGCTTTAAATGTTAATCGTCCTACCAAAATTTTTAGAAAAAGACTGATTTATTCAAAAAGCAGCATTTAAAGAAACTTTTTTGTAGAAAATTTAAATTACTTTAAGGTGGTAATAATGATGTTATGCCGAAAAATCAAACACTAATCTGACTTTTAACAAAATCTTCCTCGTCAGCACTGTTTAAGGATACAGCATCTGCTCCATAAGTTCTACATAATTCTACTGCGGTTTTGTAATTAAAAAATGGTTCTCCACTAGACGGTTCGTTCTAAATTGGTTTGGAAATATATTATTTTTCAAAAGAAAAACAGAAACGGTTTTTAAAAATAAATTTTTGAAGCTCAAGCACAACGATAGAAAAGATCAGAAGTTACCTGGAAGTATCTGTAGCAATAACGTTTTTTTTCCTTTTTGCTGTAAAAAGTATTTTCTATGGTACAATTGGAGAATACGGAAGCTAAAAATTTTTTTATTAAACAGGATGCAGTAGCAACTGCTGAAACAGCTTCTTACGTAATGGAACGTCTAGCGAAACATAAAAATCACTTTAAAAATTGAAACTAAACGAATAATTTTTGCAAGACTATGTACGCTGTTTTTTACAATTTTTAATATACAGATTTAAATGAGTAATACAGAATTCCCCTGCAGTAAAGATTATTTTTGGCTGGCTTTTCGCTGTTATTAGTCGACCACCCTTTAATTGCAGTTTGATTTTTGCGCTACAACAAGCCTACTTTACCATTAGTAATATTACCTGGAACGACTGTGAAATTATAGGAGTTCAGCATTTCCTTAAAAGCATTAAAATGTAAATATGTAAATTATGACATCAAGACTGTTCAATTTTAAGCATTAATTTGTTGGTCACTGCAAATACAAAGCGATGAAGAAAAAGAAAGCAATAAAAGGCTATTACAGATGAAAAAACTGCAATATTTGTAGCGTTCAGCTTGAGGAAAAGTTATGTATTATCATTAAAACTTATCAAAAGTATTAAGTAGACAGATAAAATCCTTGTCAAATGATATAAGAACTATTACCAAAGTATTACTTCGAATTCTGAAGTTTCCGGTAAAGGCATTCTACAAATAATAAACCAAATTTTCATATTTCGAGTATCTCTACAGTATTTTCGAACTATTGCATCTGCAAAATCAAAAACGGTTTCAGCAATTACCTCGTAAGGAAAAATTGTTCATAGAAAAGCAGGTTCCATAAATGTCACAAAAAGATGTCATAGCTATCGCTAAGTTGTTAAAGACGAAAAGCTTTTGTAGTTTTGAAGAACATTTTCAATTTGGCAGTGGAAATGTAGTAGCAAATGTTAGCAAAAAAAACCAGTTTTGTGCAATTTTTAAATGGTTCCCTATAATGTCTACTCATTAAAAAAAAGTTAATTCAATCTTTTTCTTATTTAAATAAGTTAACTTATAACTTATTGTAAAGATACTATTGAATTAACAATTAATTTTTGTTTTACACACTTCTCTTGGCCAACTCTCCTGTAAAAAATCTTCAAAAAGCATTAGCAGCAAAAAATCAAAGTAAAGTTTTGAAAGAGAAAAAAAACTGAAGAACTGGTATGGAGAACTGATTTTAAACTTCCCATGCCAATTTATGTGCAAAATCTGTGCCTGAGTGCACCAGTACCAAAAGTCCAGCACTTCTGATCTGCGCTTAGTACTTTTTCCTGTGGTGCAGTAATTTAGAAGCTTGTTTTTGTCATTAAACTTTTAAATCTATTTCAAACATTTCGCTTTTACCGTAATCGTTTTGCTCTTGTTATGCCATTTAACCTATTACAAATCTATAACTTTATTCATGCGTAACTCCAAGAAAGAATACAAGATACTTGTGCTTACTACCAAAGCAATGCTGTCATTATCAGTTTTACAGAAATAGATTAAATTATGTCGAGAAGTACGCGAGAAGCGCAGCGCTACTGCAGGTAAGAGTGCCCGCCTAAAAAAAATTTTCTTTGATCATCTACCTTAGTTCACTCATTGTACACGGAATTTTCGACATTGCCTAATTGATCTGTGGTATTTTCAGAATTATCTGTTCAATTCTTGCTAGCCTTTTTAACAGTTTAAGGCTCGCTATAATTCTTCCACTATTTCATAACGCATTTCTCAGGTCAGTCTGTGGTCGTCGGATTGTGCAGCAACTTTTTCATTGCAGTTCCAGTAATCTGGAAGAGCTTCAACTTTGTCCTCGCTTAATTCGTTTACTTGCAGCTCTACTTTTTATTGACCGTCTTTTTTACTCAAAAGTGCCTAATTAACAACTACTTTTTACTTGTATACATTGTATTCGGCAAATGGTGTTAATTGAGTTCATTTTCGAGAGGAGCCTGCTGTTGTTATTTCATAAACCCCTCTAACCGCTTCGCAATTTAAAGACGTAGTCAAAAATGGGAAAAGTAATTTTTTGAAAAAGCAGTATCTTCCAGAAACAAATAAAGAGAAGTGGCAACAAATTATGAAAAATCTAGTAAAATTTAAAGGAGGTAGGAAAAAAATAAAAAGTAGTTGAAACAACGATACGAGATACATGCAGCTGTTGTACTTCTTCATCTCAGGTTTTTACTTCTTTTTTGTTACACTGAGAAGCAGCTACGGAAATTTTTAATACTGCAAAAGCAGATTTTCTAGAAAATAAGCTCAAAAAAGTGTGCTTAGGAGTGAAACGGTTAATAAAATGTAATTTAAGGTTGGGGGATTGGGGAAAGGCTACTGATTGTTCTGATGCAAAGTGCTGCATATTAAACGAAGGCAAATAAGTGAAAGCTTGAAGCGAGGTGTGAGCTTGGCTTCTCTTGCTATTGATTGCTGTTGAGAAACTCTTTTCAAACCTTCCTCAGAAAACTAGAAAATGGATATTATGGGCGATAAAACTACTTAAAATTACTATCATCATTATTTAATTACTTCGAAGCTTTGAGATTGACGTTTCACCGTTTATGAATCCAGTTTATTATGCTTAGGTGGAATGTCTTAAAAAATTTTTGGCTTTTTTAGGTAACCTTCTAAGAGGAGCAACAGCTTGTGGTGCTTTACAATGATAAATTTTTTCGTTCTGTTTCAGGTTCGTAGCTTCGTTTTTTATCTAAAACTTATGTTCCACTTGCAAGGCTATGCAAGCTTAAACAGATGTTGATTTGTGAAACTATAAGGCTGCTGGACAAACAAATCAAGAGGGAGTTAGCTTGCGTAGACCATCTAAAAAGGCATATAAAAGTTAACTTTTTAGTAAATATTCATTTGGACATAAAATATACACCATACTATATCTATTTTTTGGGTTTAATTAACCTTGGAAAAAAAATATATTTCTTAGTTGGGTAAGTAACAGACACCTACCTGTTATATTGCTGCCGTTTTTTCGCCGTTCCAAGAACAGACATGACCTGTAGTCCTGTTCGCTTCGAATTCTTTTATTCAACGGAATGAGTACTGATTTTATTCTACCAGAAGTCTTAGGAAACGTTACATCTAGATAACAAACCGAACGTTTACCAATGGTAAATTTCTAAAATTTTAGTAATTTTCCTTTTTTGCTTGTTGTTGTTGTTGTTGTTGTTGTTGTTGTTGTTGTTGTCACTGTTGCTGCTTTTCGTTTTATTTGCTTTTCAAGCTATTAATATTTGTTTGATGACAAAATGTAGTATGAAAAAATATTCTTTCAACATCTCTGTCGCTTGACGTGTTACTTTTTTCTCAAAACGTAACAAAAAAGCAAAGGAAAAAAAGAAAAAAAGAAAGTCAAAGAAGAAAAAAAAAAAAAAAA